AGAACTAAAGCAGGCGTTTCATTTGGATGCAGATAAAAAGGATTAGAATGATTTGTCAAACAATCATTTAGATTTGCAGCTGTTTTAACGAAATTAAGGAAAGAAAGTAAGGATGACAGGATCAAAGGTTAAGAAGAAAATGACAGAATTGACAATTGATCAAGGAGATCAAAGAAAATAGTAATCGATTGAAAAGAAAGAAAGAAAAACTTCGAATCAATCAGTAATAGGTTGCAAAAAAAAAAAAAAAAAAAGGAGAAAAAAAACAGCAAATCAAAGAGGCAATTGAATAAACCTGCGCAGCATCTGCTCTGATACCATATAAAATTTGATTGAATTCATCTCATTGAAGAAGAAAATAACAGATACAAGTGCAAAAGATTAAAGATATCAGATACAAGAGAGGAAGATGACAGATAACAGATACAAGAGAGAAAAAAACAGAGGAAGGTTTTCAACTCACTCAAGAAGAAAGGAAGAATCACACACAGAAAACTTGTTACCCAAGATGCTCTATACAGTTACAACTAAAAACGTCTCTCTCTTGATTTTTCCGTAACCAACCTATAACCTCCCACTGTTGTTGTTATAAGTATGAAGAAGATATACAGTATGTGTTTTGTCATTCAATCCTCTGTTACTAAAAAAGGTTAAACTTTAATTAGCATCTTTCTTTAAAAATACTAAATAATATGATCCTATGTTATTTAATGTTAATTTCAGTTTATGAAAAACATAGATATAGATAAATAGATATAAATAAGAAAAAATTTTAAAATTTTCAAAGTGATATATACATATATAACATGTGAAACAATATTTTTTTATAGATGTTTTTATTTTTTTATTTTTCTAAATAATTTGAAAGTTGAATTGGAATAATATATTAAAATAATATTATTACCCGTGCAATATCTTTCGATGTTGAGGAAACAAGGATGGCGCCTCATTACTCAACCGGATTCTCTTGTAGCTCGCATTTTGAAGCTATATATTTTCCGTCATCTTCCTTTCTGAATTCGGAACTGGGAACGAATCCTAGTTTCTTGTGGAGATCCATTTGGGAGGCCAGAGATGTAATTCGCACATGTGTTTATTGGAGAATTGGTTATGGTTCGCAAGTATCGATTTGGTCTTCTCCTTGGTTGTGTGACTTGACAAATTCCTATGTGACTACTGAACAGCCAGCAAACGGTGAACACTTTCTGGTTTCCAGTTTGATGGTTAATAGAAGGTGGGATGAGTCTGTAATTTCTTCAATTTTTAATGAGCGTGATAAACATTGTATCTTGGCTCTTCCTTTGAGCACAAGACGGGACATTGATACACTAGCTTGGAAGTTTGAACAACTTGGTGATTATACGGTTAAAAGTGCTTATAAGTTGTTGTCATGATGTGATGCTTCAGCTGACCCATATGCAGCAGTTTGGAATAGATTATGGCGGAGTAAGGTTCCGGCAAAAGCCCAGAATTTTTTTTGGCGAGCTTTATGGGATGTGGTTCCGACTCTTCATGTCCTTCAAAGGCGACGAGTTCAGGTCACTGATAATTGCCCGATCTGTCATGGTGCTAGCGAGACCATTATGCATCTGCTGGTACAATGTCCTTTCGCCAGAAGTGTATGGACGTTATCAGATGTTGGTTGGAAGAACCCAGGTGTAACTCAGTTTTCAGATTGGTTCTAATCATTATTTTTGAATGTGACAATGGAACAAGCTTCTCAAATGATAATGATTTGCTGGGCAATTTAGTTTAACCGTAACAAAGTTGTGTGGGAGCGGAAGTTCAAGACTCCTCATCAAGTTTATTTCTTGGCATTGCGTTATCTTCAAGAATGGCGTGATGCTGCTGTTACTGGCAATCTGTAGAATGGAGGTAATGGACAGCGTTCCTGGCAGAAACCTGAGCATGGGTGGCTTAAGTTAAATGTGGATGCTTCGGTCGGTTCCAGCCTGGGATTTATAGGGATCGGAGCGTGATTCGAGATGAATATGGAGCTTTTGTGGCTGCTCAGACTTCGAGGTTTCCTGGGTTTTTTAATCCGAAGACAGCAGAGGCAGTAGCTGTTTGTGAGGCGTTCAGTTGGATCAAAACGCAAGGCTGGTCAAATGTTATACTTGAATCAGATGCTCAGTCGGTGGTTAATGCTATTCGCAATGTCAGTATAACACATTCTTTTAATTTGGGTTTGGTGATTGATGACTGTAGATCTCTGTTACATGAGATTGGAAATGTTGAATGTAACTTTGTTTTCGGTCTGCGAATCTTGTTGCCCATGTGCTTGCTACGGGTGCACATTCCATGTCAGGCCTGGGGGTTTGGCTTAATCAGCCTCCTTCTTATGTTATGGATGTTCTTCAAAATTAATAATACACTCCACTTTATTGTCAAAAAACAAAAATATTACCTTTAAAAAGATATTATTAAAATAATATAATAATATACTTTTTTAATCAATTAATAAAAAAATATTAAAAAATTATAAGTTATCAATTATTAAAAATTTAAGTTATTTAATAAACTTAAACTATTATCAATTACCCAAAGACCATGGATATTTTAGAATTTTTAAACTTTCATTAAAATTATTACATATAATCTCATTATTCCTTTTTATTTCCATTTTATATATAATATAGATATATATAATATTAAATTATATTATAATTAAGGGCGGAGCTTCAAGGGGCTGTAGCACCCCAACAAATTGTTTTAAAAAAAATTCTTATGAAAAATACATTTTAATCCTTCAAAATCTAGAAAAAAATTACATTTAGCCTTAAAATTTTATAAAAATTTCATTTGAATCCTCCAAAATAAATGTTCTAGCTCCACTTCTAATTGTACTAATTATTACATGTAATATCCATATATTCAATAAAGAAATCTATCTTTATCAGTGGACTAATGAGTTCATATATGCTAAGATTTAATTGTGTCTAAAATTTATTTAACGTCCATATTAAATTATGTTTCAACAATTTAAATATTAAATCCCAAGATTAATAATAATAATCAACTCCCTTTAATTAAAAAATATGTAAGTTTTTTTAAAGAAAATTAAGTATAATATATAATATGTAAGTTAGTCCAAATCAAAACAGATTATGTTTCATAGATAATTGCAAATTTGAAATGTTAAGGGCAAAATAATAATAACCGAGTTCGTTCTTCTATCATATTTTCAAATTCCGATTTATACCACAGGTGGGTTAAGACTAGTTATGCTTCCATTTGCGTCATATCTATAAAAGAGAAGTGCTCTCAGTAAAAAATTTATTCATTCACAAGAATCAAACACTGGATCACTTATTTGAGAGATTCGAGTCATTTCCATTCAGATAATATCGTTAATGAAACATATAAGAATTTTATAACAAATTTATAACAAATTGTTGTCTAGAAATTTAAATTAAAAAAAAAAAAGATTCTGGCAAAATAAAAGAAGAAAAAAAAAAGATGTCTTGCATGAAGAAAAGAAATTGTTTATTAATGAAACATGAATTATGAACATACCATTTTTGAAATAATAAATGTGAAATTATTTACGATTAAGGTGTCCCTTAATCAATTGCCATATAAAATGCTACTATATGATTTCTATGTGATTTTTGGAGCATGATTTTCCTATTCAATTTTTATCTCAATATATAATTTTTGATTTATTTTTTTGTTATAATAATATTGTGAACAATATATATTACGTAGATATAGGAATATTCACAAAATAGAAAAAAGTACATTTTTTGAAATAATAAAATAAAAAATTCAATAATTAAATAACTTGTTAAGAAAATAACATATTTATAATTATAAAACATCGACAACCAAATTTTTATAGAAAAAAAAAATTACTTATCAATTAATTTAAACAATATCGTAAACATAATTTTTTGTATATAATATAATATCGTAAACTGTCTATATTACTAAAATATGAGAAACCAATATTGCCTATTATAATTATTCATATACTAATCATTATTTTAGAGCATCATTTCATATAGTTAATTTTATAATTGCTTTTTTCTTTAGAAAAAAATTTCTTCTAATATATTATATGGTTTGCAAATATAACGTGTTATATTACAATTTTATATTCTATATATATTTCTAGTGATTTTTTTTATTTTAAACAATAAATCTATAATATACTTTTTAATAAATAATAATACACTACATTTATCTTTTGTAGAATAACCTACTTGTAGGAAATAATTTAAACCAATTAAATTAAAGATTTATTAAAAATAATAATTAAATATATTATATTCTTACCATATTTAATATGTATCTATTTACACTTAAAGTGGTGATTAAAACACATTTATGTAAACTTAGACCTTTTCAGTGATCTGGCAATTTATAAGTCTCAGCTCCTATATTATTCACACGTTAAAAATCAGCATTTATTTTTGCAATTCTACTAAATAAAACATCATCACTTTAGAAGCTCAAAAAGGGCTTTTCCTTTTTCTTTATTATGAACTATTCAATTAAAATTGGAAACAAAATTCTAAATTCATGTTTTCCCATATTACAGCAATAAGCAAATTACACTTACACAGATGGAAACGAAAAAACTTTCATCAGTAAATAAAGCAATTGGTGGTCAGGAAGTGCACAAATGGCTTTGCATTGACAAATCACAGGCTGAAGATCTCAAATTCTGTGCATGAAAACTAATAATAAATTGTGGTTGAAGTAAATAATTAAGAGCAAATCACCAAATAAGACATATAAGGATGCCTTTATGAATGGTTCCATCACAGGTACGTCAAGAGATCTTCAGGGAGTTAAAGGACTAGAATAGCTAAATCAAAACCATCTTGAACCACCAATTGCTAGGACATCCTGCAGCTCAACTGAACCAGAAAGGAGAGAAGCTTTTTCGTAGTAAATCGAGCCCCACATGCGTAACTGTTCGTAGAACATCAAGACAATGATTCCGACAATTCAGCAAGTGATTCCCAAACAAGCAAAGAGCCAAAGATTCTTACTTGATCAAATCTTATAAGCGATTAAAGATGACGGCAGGATGAACATGTTTCAAATTTAAACTATAATCAAAGAAACAAAAGGAAAAAGAAAAAGAAAAAAAACAGGAATGTTACCAAAAAATGAAATAAATGTGAGATGATCCTTTTAATTTTCATCTAGTTTTACATCCTTTCTCTCCAAACAACAGAACAGTCATTTCCACAAACCTTTTTCCCAAATGGGAGGCTAATGAGCAAGAATATTAACACGCTGTAGGTGCCGACGCTACAGTTAGAAAAGGACATGGTCTAAAATGAAAAAGGTGAGATTTATGAACCATGACCACCCGCTTCAAAATTGAGGTCTTGCAATAGAATCTTGCAGTAAGAGAAAACTGGCACTACTTCAAATAAGCAGATGAAACCCAGAGTAGGATATAAGTTATCAATGAAGTAGTAACTTCAAAACTCCTCAGTCCTTTTATAAATGGCAATGGTGGAATCACAGATACCATCAAGAAAGTTCCGAACAGCCATGAAAAAATAAAAGCTCCAGCACTGCACCATGATAACAAACTTGTTATTGCAGAGCATTTTACTCTTCTCTGATAAAGTTGAGCAGCAAAGATTCCAGAATGCGATTAATATGAGAGGCTATTTTCTGAAGCATTGACACAAGACAGCTTGCACTTTGTCTTCTATGTCTGGTTTGACTCAATATAAAAGCTAGGATGGAGTTAGATATATTGAATAGTAAGTTTGGGTGACGAAATCTGCTCTCAAATATAAAAGATTTCTAAGCATTACAGTTGGATATCCTTAGGCATCAGGTTCTCTTTAAATTTCCACTAAGGATTGAATTGCATCACAAATTCCAAAGAAACAAAACTATTTGGTTTTATTAACAGAAAAACTGAATAATATTTATGCATGAAGTTTATTTAAATTCAAAGTAACTGTAAACCTTTGAACCACTTTGAAACACAGGACCTCCAAAACTACTCCTGGTCCTTCAAGGATTCAGAGTTTCCAAAAAAAACTATGATCTTGTTCACTTCTGAAAATTGGAGCTTCTCAGAAAAATTTTCTACAAAACGGAAAATTGAAGTTTTCTGTTCAAAAAGTTTTCTGGAAAACAAATTCTCTTATTTCCAAATCTAATTAATGTTGAAAAACAATTGTACACCACCATCATTAATGATCGCATAACCATTATATTTTAAATAAAAACACCACGACCACATCATCATCATTGGCTCAACCATAGGCACTATGACTAGCAATTGCCACTGGTGTCACCACCATCATTAACACTGCACCGCCACTTCAAAAGTTACAACTGACCACAAAGACTAATACCAATCCTGTGCAATCATTCTTAGCAAACATCAATACCGTCATCATTATGATCTCATTATCACCTTAAACTTTGTTCAGATGAGGTGAGGGAAGGGTAATATTGAGGGTAAGGTTAAAATAAAAAAAATTGCATGTTGGGAGTGAATTAATGGAAAGGTAAAGAGAGCTAATGTATAATCATTATGATCAGGAAGAGGTAAAAAAAGAAGGTAAGGCTTACTCTTAAATATAAATTAATTTACATCTCTCACCACCTCCTCACTCTCCAAATTAGGGTGTAAGAAAAATTGATATGCGGGATTGAGATTTGATGGGTAAAGGAGGGTAAGAGTGTAAGACTTGTTTATTTAACTTTACTCTTCATTGACTTGTCTCTTTTCAAACAAGGGTACATAAGTTACTTACAGCTCCTTACCTTTCTTTATCCCTCCTTCACCTCCATCCAAACAGACTCTTAATATCACTAATATCACTAAGCATCCCCCTTACTAGCGTAATTCACCACTTCAAAATCCATTGCCACTACTTGCCTTCGCCAACCTAACACTGCCATCCACAACCATCACCTCACTATGACCATTGTTTTTACATCAAGACAACCCAACTAGCCTAAGAAACTCAGAAATGTAGCCAGTAAATAATGACGTGGTCTATCTATAAAACCCTCATATTAACAAATAAGAGTTTGCCAGCCTGCATTGGCTAGGTATCTACTAACCAGCAAGTAGGTCGACATAAAATTAGTTCAAGCATGTAGATAATTGGCTTGAAGGTAATGCGGTGGCTCTAGAAACCGCCACATCAGCCTCATTCCAAAAATATTAAATACTGCAACCTATTAGTCTTGAACCCACATGGTGTAGGTAGTCATCAGCACCATCTCTACCACTTTAATTGTAGTTAATCTTAACAATCTAATTTAAACAAAAAAAAAATAATAATCAATTCATATATCTAAATAAAACTTAGTAAGTCACTGGTATTTTTAACAAAAGATTATTAATTTCTGTTTAATTCAATTCTGATTCAACCTGGTTAAACTCTTAATCATCCCTCTAGTTTAATAGTTTGAAATTGAGCCATATCTGAAAACCTTGAGTAACCTATTATTACCCTCACTATGACTATTTGCTGCTGCATTAGATGAAATAATTGACTTGGTAGTTGAATACAGTTTCTGGTACAAATATAATTTAACTAAAGAGTACTAGAAAACGAATGCAAAGTTGAAGGTTGGAAAAAAAAAAGCAATGAAAAAGATATCATAAACATACCCATAAAGGAAAGCTCGAAGTTTACTCTTCAGCCGGTCGTATATAAAATATATTGTAGCCATTAAGGAAATGGCTACCTGTAGGGTTGGACCTTCTTCAGTTGGAAAGAGAACAGTGAGAACTCCAAGTACTAGAAATGCAATTGATGTTTTAGCGATGACTAGTGTAGATGGAGTTTGAAACCTGCTTGTGACAGCCTGCACAACACGGGACTGCTTTACTTCCCTAACCTTTTTCCCAATGTCAATTTTTGGGTTCTTCCTTTCATAAAACTTCTGCATGATTATTTTGTCGTGTGCAGATTCAATTGCATCCACACTGGGTTTGTGCCCAGCATATTTTTTTATAAGAAAGTTCCTTGCACCTTGAATTTCATCTTCATTGGCATCCCTGCTGATCCCAAGCCGTTTGTATGGGTCCCTTACATGAATTCTAGGAAAAATAACTGAAGTGACAAAGAAAATTATGAGAGATTTAGAGGACGGATGATGCAACCTTTTAACAGGATTTATGAAACACATCAATAAATTGATACATCATAATTTCCATCCAAAAGTCATTAGCTTCCTGGATACAGGAGTAACAAAAATATTTCGTCAACACCTTATATGGCTGGCCATAGGAAAGGTTGACTAAGAACAAGTACTGTTAACATGAGAAGACCACTGGCCCAAAGTAGCCATGCAATGTCTTCTCAATAAAAACTCGTGATAATCACAGGCGAAGCTAACAATTTCTTCTACCACATTTCACAAATGGAGTCTAGGCCAGGCCACCTATCATATGTACCCTAGTGTGAAGGAATCAGGATCACATTTGCAGGAGAAAAATAATATTACATCATACTCATTATCACATCATGATATACTAGTCAATTATGATAATCAAGAAAGAATTGCACTCGGGTAACTTAATATTTCCATCCCTTAGATTTACCTAGAACTACAATGGAGGCAAATACTTTTAAAATTATACTCCCAACTAGAGATTGTCACAGGATATTTAGGACTACCTTCTCAGTTGATGATACATGCTTCATGAGAATTTCATTTAGTGGAGTATATAATCAATAATTGTGAATTTTTTCAGAACAGTAACTCATTATGCCTTATGGAATTAACTTTCTAGTTATGCAGTAATATTTTTAGTCTGCATTTCAAATTTCTTACTGATTACCTGGTCTATATATACATATATATTAGCATAGTAGTTGACTATATTAGAAATGAAAAAGAAATTTAGTCCTTGGTTACACATTTGGAGCCACTCAAACATAGGAGTTCTTTTCTAATGTTTGTTATATGTGCATTTCGGGCATTACTGATTATCAACATAGAAAAAAAGTGTAGAATAAATGAACTATTCAAAAACATTGTACAGCCTACAATTATTGGCAAACTTTAAGAATGGAAATGTAATCTGTCCAAATTACTTCCAAGTCAAATGTATCTTCGATCTACAAAAACAGCCATTACATTCTCCACATGATAGAGTAACATAATCTTCAACTAATCAAGAAACTAAATATTACCAGGTTGATCATTTGTCATTTCACCACCATAAGAAGCATCCATTGCACACTTAACTAAGTGAGTTTGCTTTCCAATGTATCCTTTTGCAGAACCAACCCAAGAACATCTGAATAATTCCAACAACATCAAAACCCAAAAATAAAATAACACAACTCATTAAATACATCTATATCCTAGATGAAGGTTTAATAGAAAAAAACATATATAAACATAACTGAAGAATTCAATACCTGTCTAAACATGGAAAGTTTATCTTAACTTTAGATTCTCTAGCAAAGGAAAAACCCGAAACTCGCCTGCAAGATGACCCAGGCCCATTAAGAGGAACCCGGAAACTGCACCTTGAGGGACTACCAGTTAGTCCAGACACAGTCATCCTCACAACACTACAATAAAGCGAACATAAAATCCAATAAAATATATATAAATCAGTAATTTGCTACATAACAAAATCAAAACTATAACAAAATAAATTACTAAAACACTAAACGATTATCTTCTCCTACAAATAAATGGGTAAAGTATATATAAGCAGAACAAAATTGGCAACTTCAAGAGCAGAATTTAGGGAAAAGAACTAAGATATTTTCAATGTTAAGCTTTGAAATTTAGAAATTAATTGAAGATGTTGAAGCTACCTGGTAATCTAGTGGATATACTACAGATTCTATTAAGCTTGTGAGTGACTGGAAAAGGATACAAGGAGAGGAAGATAGAGAGGAAAAGAGAGAGAGGAGTTGGAGAAGAGAAGCACTAAACCCTGTTTTTGATTAGAGAGAGAATCAAAGAAATGGTCCGACTTGGGCTGTTTTGGTCAATCGGGTTTTATTATTATTAATCTATTGGGCGTTAGATCAACGGCTCGCATGCGATCGGGATCCTACAATACAAATAAAAAGCAATAGATAACGGCGTCTTAGTAATTGATAAAAATTAGAACGATTATTCCCGTTGCCGGGACTTGAACCCGGGTCTTTCGGGTGACCGTCGAACATCCTGACCAACTAGACTACAACGGATTCATTGTTTGCTAATGATATTTTTTATTTATTCAAATAATGTTTTACGGCATCTTACAATCGATAAAATTAAAAGGACTTTCCGTTGCCGGAACTCGAACCCGGGTCTTTCGGGTGAGAGCCGAATATCCTGACCAACTAGACTACAACGGATTTATTGTTTACAATTGATATTTTCTATCTATAACAATAATTTTTACGGCATCTTAGGAATTCGTAAAATTAAAAAGACTTTCCGTTGCCGGGACTTGAACCCGGGTCTTTCGGGTGAGAGCCGAATATCCTGACCAACTAGACTACAACGGATTTGATGTTCATGAAGGCATAAACAAAAACCAATTCTAGCCCAATTGAAGGAATCTTCTGATAAATCCAAAGATCATTTCGATTCCATTATTAATGAGAATTCAGAATATCACACATTGATCAATCAAAGCAACAACTAAAAGAAAGATCAATTCTTTGGGAACCTTTTTTTCTTCAAACAGAATATTCTAGATAAGCTTAATTGTTTTTAGTTATTCAAAACTTAATTAGATAAAGTTTTGCTTATGGCAATAGCTATAAATAAAGTTCAAGCTTATGCAGCAAATGTGCTAAAGCAATAGAATTGAAGCTAAGAGTGTTAATTTTGATTTAATAATTTTAAATTTGGAATTAATTGTTTCGATTATAGTTTGTTACAAAAATTTGGTCAAATCTAATCATATATTTAAATATAAATGAGTTGAATTAAAATTTGAAGCACTTCAATTATTTTTATTCACCGTATACTTAACCAATTCAAATTTCATTTAGTCCTTTTCGGTTAAATTTGTAAGATTTTCTTTTAGGTAACATCTAGAGAATTTTAATATTCCCTCATATGGCAATAGATACTTTTGTTTTTTCATTCAATGGGCAATTATTTAAAATAAGCACAATCTCATTACATGAGAGATCAAATCATCTATCACCATGTTAATACAAGTGTTGAAACTAGGATCGAAGTAGGATAGATTTTCCTAATTATTCGATCTATAAAAACCTATTTAAAGTAAGTTCATGTATTAATCAATTGAGTTCGAGACAAATATGACTATCTATAGCCGATTTGAGAATTATATCCATGCCAAAACTGCACCCTGATATCATCAAATGTTAACAAACTAGTTACTAAAAGAATTTTAAAAAAGGATTTTGGAATTGTCTTTCATTCATATTTCTCCTTCATAGTTGTGACATACCAGGGATGGAAAGATATTGTCTGCTTTGGACCAAACCTACTAAGGCCCGCAATATTTTGTTCTTGGGCTAGAACCACCTCATAAGCCAAAAAGCCTCTTGCTAGTTTAAGATTTGCTCATTCTTATATAAATCACTTTCACCTTATGCTTAGCAGATGTGGGATTCCCCTAAGGTAAGCTAACATCTCAAACTAACAACCCATCTGGTGCGTATGTTACACTTCACCCCCCCCCCTTTAGGGAGTCAGTGTCCTTGTTGAGGTTTGCTGCACCATCAGCCAGAGGGACAAGGCTTGTTCTGATACCAAGTTTGTGGCATCTCAGGCCTAGCAAGATATTGTCCGCTTTGAACCGAACCCACTCAGACCCGCACGATTTTGTTTTATAGCCCAAAAGGCCCTTCACTAGTCTAAAGTTTGTCCATTCTTATATACATCACTTTCACCTTGTGTTTTGCCGATGTAGGATTCGGTTAAGATAAGCTAACATCTCAAGCTAGCACCTCATCTGGTCTAGATGTTACAATAGTTCTCAGTGATAGAATTTTTACTATTAACCATGCATATTGTATGTATTGAACGTGGACCAAGTGTAGAATAATTGTTTCTATACTGACTAAATAAAACAAATTATCTAGCTCATTAATTAATAGATATATGTACTTACTCTTAATGTTGATTTAATTGTTATAAGCATTATATGTTGTCTATTGTTTTGATTCATTAAAATGGTGAATTTCATTATGGAACAATAAACTCAGTGAATTGGACAATGACGATGTGTATTTGTGAAATATCAATTTATTGATAGAGTCTGTGTCTTGGTATAGGGATTGATGGTACCCCTTGAAAATCTTATAAGTTTTCATTATATAAAACCCTGCAAATGGATTTTGTATCTGACACATGAAATAAGTTTAAGTGGAATTCTTGAGGAATTTAAATTGTTAATTAGATAAAATAGTCGATAATTTAATTTAATTGACAAGTATCTGTAATCTTAACACAGAGAGTTTGTATATTTTAATGCTAGGAAATTCGAAATTAATAACGAGTTGAATTATGAAATTTTAGTAGAATAATTCATTATAATAATATTTTACAGGTTGTATAGATACATTATTATTATCAGTAACCTTATTAATTTTATTCTTGTAGGTCTCTGTTGTACCTATGCTATTTAGAGCTAATTAAGAGGTTAATTAAATATAATGTTAATATTGCAAAATGTGAATATATATATATTTATACATAAAACATTTTCATTAATGTTATTTTTAATTGAAATATATAAGAGACACTTAGACTAAACCTAGACGTCAATCTTTCATATTTCGTTTTCCCCCTCTCAATAATCATCTGCCCATACAGATAGTTCTAAGAAAATAAATTAGATCACATAACAAAAGAGTGCAGAGAAAATCAGTATGGTTCCGGTAGAGCAGAAGTTGTTGGCACAGGAGCTATTGTGTGAAAGTAAAATCGAAATCTGTGTTGATTTTGTTTCTCTTAAGAGGTACTTATGATTCCATAACTTCGATTTTTATATTTTCTATACCTCTGTTGGTTTACCTGTATATTATGCACATGCGATCTTATGGTTTCCGTTATATGATTTTTTTCTATCACGTAGTTCAATCCATTTAAAATAAATTTGGGTATCAGTTAAACGGGTTTGAGAAGGAAAAGGGTATTGAAATTTTAAACCGCTTTTGGTATGGATATTTCAAAAGAAAATTTAAATGGATTTAAATACGGGTAATACAAATTTTGTGAATATTCAATAATCATCAAAGTTTATTATTCATCAAACAATAATCATCTTAAATTAAATCAAAATTAAAAATGATATAAAACCTAGATTTCGAGCATTTTTTTCATTATTATAATTATTTTGGTTATACTTATTCATTTATAATCTAAATTCTCATTAAATATAATTTTGATAATTTGAATACTAAAGTTAAAATTGGAATTCATTTTAAAGCATTTTGAGTATAAATTTGTCTTACAGTATTTAGTATTTTTTTTTTAATAAATGTTATGCTCATTGCATATTATTAATATCAAAAGACAATGAATCAAATAAGAAAGAAGGAAAACATACCCCATTCAAAACTAGACATAGAATTAGTGATAGGTGTTATTTTATAGTGTTTTTAATATAGTTTTTATAAAGTTAAAATTGGAATTCATTTTAAAGCATTTTGAGTATAAATTTGTCTTACAGTATTTAGTATTTTTTTTTTAATAAATGTTATGCTCATTGCATATTATTAATATCAAAAGACAATGAATCAAATAAGAAAGAAGGAAAACATACCCCATTCAAAACTAGACATAGAATTAGTGATAGGTGTTATTTTATAGTGTTTTTAATATAGTTTTTATTAGGATTTTTAGTATTTTTAATTACTTTAATTAGTTTTAATTAATTTTATTTATGTTTTTGTTCAAAGTTTCTTTGAATCGTATTTCACTTTATCTTGAGGAATTTTGTAGGATTTTTTATAGAAAACCAGCCAAAAATGCAAAAAAGACTATACCCAAGCCGTGCCAGGTAGCACGCCCGTGTTGAATACCAGATTTTGCATTGGGCCGAGAATGTCAGTTCCAGCCCATACAGCTTGTATAGACACACATGAAATGCTTTTCTGATGTGCCAATTAAGTATAAATCCTATTTAGATGTTGGAAGAGTCATAATTGGAAAGAAATACAAAGTCTAAACAGTTTTCTATCTCCAAAAGATTTCTTACTCAATAAAGATTCACTTTCCTAAACAAACACGAAGATATTAGAAAGTTTTATAATAGTAGATGAGACTAGAACATCAAGTCAAGAGGACATTCATTCGTTATATTTGCCATCTTTTGTGTTGTATTGTTTCTCCTCTTTCTCTCGCAAGACTTCATATGTGAATCAAGATGTGTGTCCAAGATGTCAAGGATAGCCGTCCAGAATATTTGTTGACTAGTTTTTAATCTATAAACTTTAATCTTTTTTACTTTCATTACACATTATTTATGGAATTATTTTCAAGTTTATTGAGTTTTATTTAATTACTTGATGCTCGAAATCAATTCTCATATCTAGGGATTGTATGCTATGTAGCTTAATTTCTATTCCAATTTATAATATTATATTTGCTTTTCTTTGTTCAAAGTATAATTTATTATTGAAATTAATGCTTCCAGGCAGAATTTCTCCCCAAGATTGATTTATTTCATTAATCACTATCGGAGAAAGGGTTTTTGATATGAAAAATGTAATAAATTACATGAGAATAATAAATTAATGCGGAAGCTATATCACTTAACTCCTGGGGGTTTTCATAAGTTAATGATCTTAGTTATAAATTCACAAACAAACCATAAAACTCAATGATTTTAATTCATGTTTGATTGCGCTATTCGAAGATAGGTAATTAGATCGGGTTAAAATAGCTAACAATACGTGAGAGCTTGTTGATTTTGGGGTTTGTTTCCACTACTTGAACAATTAAAATTAATTATTAAACTAATAAAATAAATTGGATATAATTAAGTGAAGTCAAAATCCCTAGTAACTTTT